CAGCCATCATTGTTGTTTTGGCAAGCCTGGGCTGGATTCGAACCCACCACCTTAGGTGTATGTGGCTGGCGCCTTAGCTATTTGAGCCACAGGCACCGAGCCGAAGACAAGTTCTTGATCTTGCATCAACCCCTTTTCTTCAACAATTTCTCATTAATAAATTCTCTACCACATACATGTATGTGTGTGTTTACACATGTGCATTTATGAAAGTATATATGTTTATATAATTTTAAAATATATGTTCTTAGGCGTGACAGTAACATCATGGTTATGTTTTTGAAAATGTCTTTATCTGTTAGACCTCAAACTAAAATACTTACAGGTAAACTGGTCTGAAGCTTTCTATTTGCTATTAAAAGACAAAAAGCCACCTTAAAAAAAAAAAAATTGAGGGCAAGGACCAGATGAAATGAAACTGGAGAATGTTCAAGCTTGTTGAAGCTGATGAGGGGGAAGAATCAGTTTCTCTTTACTTTGGATATGACTAAAAATTTCCGTTAAAAAGCTTTTGTGGCTCGGCATCTGTAGCTTAAGCAGCTAAGGCACCAGAGCTGCCAGGTTCAAATCCAGCCTGGGCTCACCAAATAACAATGACAACTACAACCAAAAAATAGCCGGGCATTGGGATGGGAGCCTGTAGTCCCAGCTACTTGGGAGGTTGAGGCAAGAGAATTGCTTAAGCCCAGGAGTTGGAGGTTGCTGTGAGCTGTGATGTCACAACACTCTACCCAGGGCGACAGCTTGAGGCTCTGTCTCAAAAAAAAAAAAAAGTGGTTTTGTTCTAATTTCCAGAAAAGAATAAATGAGTAGAACCTAAGGAAATGAGGACACTATTGGTCTGAATATAGAGCTATATTCAGTTTTTTAAAATTTATTGCAGCCAACACTGATTATCAACATAATCCAGGTATGGACAGGTACGGTGGCCACAGTGAGGAAGGTCAATCTCAGCCCCCAAAAGGCTCACAACAAATGAAAACACCAGGTGCTCAATCCCTTACCCCAGAGATGTGCAGTCAGGGAAGCCTCCCTAGAGGACATGATATACATACCCGAAGGGCCTAGAAGGATAAGTAGAAGCTGGAAAGGAAGGTGGGCAGAGGGAGAAAACCGTGTGGGGATGTCACAAGGAGATCAGCTTCTTATTTACAATCTTCAGGGGAGTTTTCTGTGGCCAGTGGGAGAGACTGCAGGGAGGCAGATGTGGGTCTAAATTTCAGGAAAGGCCTTCCCTATGGGGCTACCCAGAGGGACTAAGAGTGGCCTTTGGGGTTCCTGGGGCTCCTCCACTCCACATGAGCCCAGCTAAGAGGAAACAACTTCCTTCATGGATTCCACAGGAGGACCTGAGATTGCCCACTGGGAAAGGGCAGTATTATTCCCTTATTCATATAATAAACATCTTTTGTGTTCAGCACTAAGTGTGAGGGACATGGGCTGAAAAAAATAAAACCAACGCTCAAAATCTTATGAGAATAGGTGAGAATAAGGACTGGGTAGCCTTCTGTGTTAAAGAGAGAGAGAGAATGAGAGAGGGAATCACATGATTCCACATAGATGCTCTTCTTTCCAAGTGTCCTCGGTCCTTTCTGGAAGTCACCAGAGCCTGAGGCTGGGATTGCCGTGACCCCTCCACTCCTTGGCGCTGGTGGCACCAGCCTGATAGGCAGCCCTGAAGGTCGTTCACAGGGCACAGACCCCCGCCCCCCACCTCCCGAGAGAGATTCACATGTCCAACCAGGATCTCATTGCTCTGAGGGTCACCTTTTTGGAACATCAAACTTATGTGGTCCCCTGAAGAGTGTATCACAAAGAGGGAGAGTCACACTTCCTGAACAATGGGAGACCAAAGAGCGCTGCAAACCACATTTAAGCCAACAATGAGCCTGGAGCCACCTGCCAGGTGGGTGATGTTCAGCAAATCGCTGACCTTTCCAGGCTGCGGTTTCCTTACCTATGAAAAGGAGTAAAATTCTTCTTCCTTTATAGGATAACATACACCACACGTTATGTGCAGATGTTACAAGCAAACATGAATTATAGAGCCACATGTATTCAAAGAGTAACACTGATTACTTTCTAGTCTCCATGAATAATACAGTGAGTAATTAGACAGGACTCCACCAGACATAGCTCCATGAAAATAAGGACTGGGCCTCCTTTCTCTGTTGAGTTCAGTGCCTGAAACACGGTAGGTACTCAGTAAATACTTGGTGAACAAATAGATGGAGCCAAGTGAGTGACCCCGGAGGGTAGGTTGCAGGGCCCACAAATCTCCATCCCCTGGCCGGAGCTCCTCAGCTGCTGTCTTCCTCTCCTTCTTTCTCCTCATCCCCCTCAGGGTCCCCTTCACTGTCCTCATAGACAGTTGGGTGGTCCCTGCGCTGAGGGGCTGCACTGGGGCACCGAGGGACTTTCCTGCGGTTAGGACAGCAGCGCAGGCCCCACTCGCTGCAGCTGCAGGGGCTCTGGGCCACCCAGGCGTAGGCGCCCACGGGCACCGCGAGCAGCACCGCGCACAGCACCACCGTGACGTGCAGCAGGCGCTCGCGCGCCTCCAGCTCCCCTCCATCTCTGCCTGTCACGAAGACCACACACCGGCCCTGGCGTGGAGGGTGGCTCCCCAGGCTGAGGCAAGCCTCGTATTTTGTGGCCGGAAGGAGGTCATCCACAGCGTAGGTGTTGATTCCAGGCCCGATGTGGACCACCTCTTTCCTGAGGG